AGCGTTAGTCTTCAGCCTTATCGTCCTCTTGTTACGCCCCACTTAGGTTATGGAGTTCAGTTTTGGACTCCGCACTACAGAACGCACACATGTTCATTTGAACGCGTCCGGAGAAGGTCAACAAAGCTAATCCCAGGACTCAGAAACCTTCGTGGTGACCAGACACTAATAAAGCTTAACTTCTTTCTCTAATCTCTAGAACGACGAAGATGTGACATGATTGAGGTATATAAATGGATAAAATGGTATAACAAATCTGAAGAAAAATTAAGTTTTACATATATCATCACAAACCAGAACTCGAGACTGTGGATATTTATTGGAAATATTTAGAATCAGGAAAGACCTGGGTAAATACCGGCTTAGAAACGGTTGTTGATTTATGAGTCGCATGATTTATCGGTTTCTTACATAAAGTGTATAATTCTGCAAAATAACAATTGCGTCATAATGCATAGTCATGACCAATTGTAATATCTTGCAAGCAAACCTTAAAGAAGCAGGTGTCGTAAGTTATGAACTAAAATGAATCACAGGATCGCCACAGTGAAGAATACGAGTTTTAAGACACGTGTGTAATCCAGAAAGTTAGAATCTGCCATTATAGGAATACAGTTGGAGGCCTCTGCATCGTGTTATCAACAACAAACTTGAATCCGCCAACCGACTCTTTACCGTCCTACCAAAGCACTCGGCCAGACCCCCTACCCACCAGTTAATTGACAGTCGAGAGGCGGAACCAAAGAGCAAGAGCTCAACCCCCGCAAGCACAACTAGACGAGTACTACTCGTGCATCAAAACAAAGACTAATACACTCTCTGCCAGCAGCCCGTCCTCCAAAAATGGGGGAAGTAAATGTAACAGCCCCATAAGTGCTACTATGTATGACAGTCAGGAAACGTACTTATTACACTTAGTATTAAAACGTACTGTCAATTCGGAGGATGGGTTGCTGCCAGATGCACGCCGACTACCTCATCGCAACACACACCACCACATGCTCGACCACTGTCAAGGCAAAAATAATGACAAATGTTGACACTATGTAGTATGTGCTTACGTCAGTCAAGCCAGGAGTTAATCGGGTGTTCAATAATGGAGTATCTAGTTAGGCGTATTATGGAGTTAATATTTCAGATGAGGAGGTTTTGGGTGGTAATAACACCAATTAGTCTGGACCACCATGAACATATTGACACAATACTTATTCCTTCACTCTGAGTTTGCTTCAGAAGAGGTAGTGGCGTTTCGATTATTAAATTGCCTTTGGAAAAATATATTATTATCATTATCATTGATGGATCCCATCGTTGTCATTGATTAATGTTAAGTTTATTGATTATTGTCAGTTTTGTTATTGATTAATGTCGGCTTTATCGTTGAGTAATGTTAGCATTGTTTTCCATGTCAACTTTGTCATTTATTAAAGTCGGCTTTTGTCATCAAGATCAGCTTTGTTATTGATTAATGTCAGTTTTAGTATTAAAGTCTTGGTTATCAGTGATTACTGATAGCTTTAACATTGAATAATGTCGGCTTTATCCTTGATTCGTGTCAGATTTATTATTGAATAATAGCAACTTTATCATTGAATAATGTCAGCTTATCATTGATTAATAGGAGTTTTATTATTGATTAACGTCAACTTTATCACTGATAATGTCAGCTTTATCGCTGACTAATGTCGGATTTATCATTGATTAACAACCTTATTGTAATTGCTTAATATGATCATTTACCATTGTTTAATATAAATATTATCAGGGACTGACAGCATCATTATATTAACATTATAAATGATTAATGTCATCATTATGATGAATTATCATTGAAAGTGATTAATATCATCATGGATTAATATCATTGATTAATATTTTTATATTTATATCACCATTTTCGTAGATAAATATGATTTTTATTATTATTGGACATTACACACCCCACATGTGTCGCCAACACTACCACACCCCACATGTGTCGCCAACACTACCACACACCCCACATGTGTCGCCAACACTACCACACACCCCACATGTGTCGCCAACACTGCCACACACCCCACATGTGTCGCCAACACTGCCACACACCCCACATGTGTCGCCAACACTGCCACACACCCCACATGCGTCGCCAACACTACCACACACCCCACATGTGTCGCCAACACTACCACACACCCCACATGTGTCGCCAACACTACCACACACCCCACATGTGTCGCCAACACTACCACACACCCCACATGTGTCGCCAACACTACCACACCCCACATGTGTCGCCAACACTACCACACACCCCACATGTGTCGCCAACACTGCCACACACCCCACATGTGTCGCCAACACTGCCACACACCCCACATGTGTCGCCAACACTACCACACACCCCACATGTGTCGCCAACACTGCCACACACCCCACATGTGTCGCCAACACTGCCACACACACAGGTGCCTGCATGTGTGTGGTCACCTAGTTGTGCTTGAGGGGGGTTGAGCTTTGGCTCTTTGGTCCCGCCTCTCAACTGTCAGTCAACTGATGTACACATTCCTGAGCCTACTGGGCTCTATCGTATCTACATTTGAAACTGTGTATGGAGTCAGCCTCCACCACATCACTGCTTAATGCATTCCACCTGTTAACTACTCTGACACTGAAGAAGTTCTTTCTAACGTCCCTGTGGCTCATTTGGGAACTTCAGTTTCCACTTGTGTCTTGTTGTTTGAGTACCACCCGTATATATATATATATATATATATATATATATATATATATATATATATATATATATATATATATATATATATATATATATATATATATTTAAAAATGAATAGGAAAACCATTGATATAATAAACATCTTGTTTCAGATTCAGACGTTTCGAATACTTCTCGTATTCATCATCAGATCTTAAAGAAAAACATAAGTCACAATAAAATAAGTAGCAAACAAAGAACTCTTACTGAACAAAATTACCAATCAAAAGAATAAAGATATCAAACGACACTGGTCATAAAACAGAACACTTAAGCTTACTTGAAGTGGTCAAACCGAATAAAACTTTATAATTATCACATACATAATAAAAGCCAATTCAAAAATATATATAAACTAACCAATAGAACAAACCACACTTAAACTTACGTGAAGTGATCAAACGAAATGAAGCTTGATAATTATCACATGGAAAATCAACGCTAATACAACAATTATAATAATGTCTACACACTTACAAGAAATGTATATAAAATACAAGCAAGATATAAAACAAAATATCAAACAAAACTAAACACCAAAAATGTGTTGTACATCTTAATTAAACAACTATAACAGTGTAAAATATCAACACTTGAAATAAGTACAAAAAGACACATCATGGTAGACTAAAACAAAAGTTAAAACACGCCAGCATGAACTATAAATCAAAATACAAGGCCTACTGTGCATTATACAGTGTTCAATTGAACAGCCGAAAGGTTGTTATTAAGCAGAGGCCGCAGCTCCCTGACATATAAGGATTACATTATTCTCAAATCCGACTGGCCATTCATACAAGTGTCTAGAATTTTAAAAACGGATTCCAGCAGATTATGATTCAACTCATAACAAAGATTTCTAATCTCCGAGAATGCTGGTTTGGATAATGCAACCCGTCCTCCAAACAAAGATATATATATATATATATATATATATATATATATATATATATATATATATATATATATATATATATATATATATATATATGTCGTACCTAATAGCCAGAACGCACTTCTCAGCCTACTATTCAAGACCCGATTTGCCTAATAAGCCAAGTTTTCATGAATTAATGTTTTTTCGTCTACCTAACCTAACCTAGCTTTTTTTGTCTACCTAACCTAACCTTACCTATAGATATAGGTTAGGTTAGGTTAGGTAGGGTTGGTTAGGTTCGGTCATATATCTACGTTAATTTTAACTCCAATAAAAAAAAATTGACCTCATACATAGAGAAAAGGGTTGCTTTATCATTTCATAAGAAAAAAATTATAGTAAATATATTAATTCAGGAAAACTTAGCTTATTAGGCAAATCGGGCCTTGAATAGTAGGCTGAGAAGTGAGTTCTGGCTACTAGGTACGACATATATATATATATATATATATATATATATATATATATATATATATATATATATATATATATATATATATAAAGATGCTCAGAAAGTGCTTACAAGCCTACAGTGATAATAACCCATAGTAATAACCTACAGTAAGAGCTGTTGTATTAATAACCTATTGTAATAATCTTGTAATAATAGCCTATATGCTTGAAAGAAATGATTTATTTATAAACTTCATTTCCCGGAGTAAATGTTTTATGGGTTAAGGTAGAGTGTGGCGCAGTGGTTGAGAGGTTGGGGAGTGACTTGACAAGTGGAGCACCTTAGAGCCGTGACCAGCGACCTTAACCCAGTGTGGAGGTGGTGGCACACACGGTCAGGGTGTGTGTGTGTGTGTGTGTGTGCGTGTGTGTGCGTGCGTGCGTGTGTGTGTGTGTGTGCAGGAGCCGCTCCCGGCACCAACCCGCCGCCCTCCTGTACTTGCAGGCATCTAGGCAGCCTATTTATCACCAGAGAGAGAAATGATTACAGTGAAAAATTGGCCGAAGAGGAAGATGCCGAGTCGGAAGATGGAGAACTAAAGGAAAGTAAAAACCGAATTAGGCAAGACGAAGTATTTAGGCTGTTAGTGTATTGCTGGCATGTGAGTGGTGTAGTTTTTGTATTCTCCAGATGTATATGATGTATAACTATGATACAGTTTCCTTGTGATGGCGAAGGGAAGAACTGGCAGAAATGTGGTGAGTAGAGGTAAGTTATCCTGGGTGCGGCAACCTGCCGTGGGTGTATGAGGCAGATGGCACAGGGTCGCAGCTGGCACATGTGTATCGCACTACTCACTCTTACGCCTTGTCTAGGGCCCCAGGGGGTGGTCCCGGGGGCGTGGCTATGCTCGGTGCGGGGCCCAGCGCTGGGCGGAGCCTTTGCTGCGCCTGCGCAGTTTCGGGTTAAAGGTCTGCACCAGCTTCACGCAGCCAGTTGGAGGCAGGACATGATGGAGGGAAGTGCGGCCCTCGTGGGTCATAAAGTGGCCATGGCCGGTGGTGATGTTGGCCTCAGCGGCCCCCAGGTCAATGGTGGAAACCCAGTGCGTAGTGTGGAATCCTTGCTAGATATCTGTGCCAAAATAGTGGCTGAACATATACCGTTCCAGCGGATAGAGGAGCGGTACAGCCGAATCCCCGAACCCGTACAGCGACGGATCATCTACTGGTCCTTCCCGAGGCACGAAGCCGACATCAGGATGTACTCTTGCTTCTCCTCGGTGGGCAGTGACCAGCACAGCCTTCCCTTCTACCGTGGCCTGCGTCTGGTGGAGTCCAACATGGTGGAGGGCGTATTGCAAGTCGGTAAGTAGTATCAGGCACAGCCCTCTCCTCTCTCTCTCTCACCTCCGGCCTATCTCTCTGCCACAGAGTAGGCCTCGGGCACAGTACCGCTAGTGGCTTTGTCCTCTCACTTTACTCCACTCTCAGACGCTCTCACACCTAGTACTCCTTCCCGAGTACTCTTACCCCCACAGTACATATCTCATCCACTCCAGTACTCATTTACCTTAGGCCTACTTCGGTACTCGTCTCTTAGGTCTATACTGGTTCTTGTCCCGCACCGCGGTACTCGTCCGTTAAGTTCTTAGCTTCAGTAACTGTTATTTTATACTTTTGTCTCACAACCACTTTGTTGGCCTTCAGCTCTCCCCCAGTACTGTCTCCCAGTGACCTGCTCTCTCTCTCTCAGCACTGCTCGCTCTCTCCCACAACTCTGCTCTCTCTCTCTCTCTCTCTCTCTCTCTCTCTCTCTCTCTCTCTCTCTCTCTCTCTCTCTCTCTCTCTCTCTCTCTCTCTCCTACAACTCTGCGCTCTCTCTCTCTCTCCCACAACTCTGCTCTCTCTCTCTCTCCCACAACTCTGATCTCTCTCTCTCCCACAACTCTGCTCTCTCTCTCTCCCACAACTCTGCTCTCTCTCTCTCTCCCACAACTCTGCTCTCTCTCTCTCTCTCCCACAACTCTGCTCTCTCTCTCTCTCCCACAACTCTGCTCTCTCTCTCTCTCCCACAACTCTGCTCTCTCTCTCTCTCTCTCCCTCTCTCTCTCCCACAACTCTGCTCTCTCTCTCTCTCTCTCCCACAACTCTGCTCTCTCTCTCCCACAACTCTGCTCTCTCTCTCTCTCTCTCCCACAACTCTGCTCTCTCTCTCTCTCCCACAACTCTGCTCTCTCTCTCTCTCCCACAACTCTGCTCTCTCTCTCTCCCACAACTCTGCTCTCTCTCTCTCTCTCTCTCTCTCCCACAACTCTTCTCCCAGTGACCTGCTCTCTCTCTCTCAGCACTGCTCGCTCTCTCCCACAACTCTGCTCTCTCTCTCTCTCTCTCTCTCTCTCTCTCTCTCTCTCTCTCTCTCTCTCTCTCTCTCTCTCTCTCTCTCTCTCTCTCTCTCTCTCCACAACTCTGCTCTCTCTCTCTCTCTCTCTCTCTCTCCTACAACTCTGCGCTCTCTCTCTCTCCCACAACTCTGCTCTCTCTCTCTCCCACAACTCTGATCTCTCTCTCCCCCACAACTCTGCTCTCTCTCTCTCCCACAACTCTGCTCTCTCTCCCTCCCACAACTCTGCTCTCTCTCTCTCCCACAACTCTGCTCTCTCTCTCTCTCTCCCACAACTCTGCTCTCTCTCTCTCTCTCCCACAACTCTGCTCTATCTCTCTCTCTCCCACAACTCTGCTCTCTCTCTCTCTCCACAACTCTGCTCTCTCTCTCTCTCCCACAACTCTGCTCTCTCTCTCTCTCCCACAACTCTACTCTCTCTCTCTCTCCTACAGCTCTGCTCTCTCTCTCTCTCTCCCACAACTCTGCTCTCTCTCTCTCTCTCTCTCTCCCACAACTCTGCTCTCTCTCTCTCCCACAACTCTGCTCTCTCTCTCTCTCCCACAACTCTGCTCTCTCTCTCTCTCTCCCACAACTCTGCTCTCTCTCTCTCTCTCCCACAACTCTGCTCTCTCTCTCTCTCTCCCACAACTCTGCTCTCTCTCTCTCTCTCCCACAACTCTGCTCTCTCTCTCTCTCTCCCACAACTCTGCTCTCTCTCTCTCTCTCCCACAACTCTGCTCTCTCTCTCTCTCTCCCACAACTCTGCTCTCTCTCTCTCTCCCACAAACTCTGCTCTCTCTCTCTCTCCCACAACTCTGCTCTCTCTCTCTCCCACATCTCTGCTCTCTCTCCCACAACTCTGCTCTCTCTCTCTCTCTCTCTCTCTCTCTCTCTCTCTCTCTCTCTCTCTCTCTCTCTATCTCTCTATCTCTCTATCTCTGCTCTTCTGTGTTTTCTTCCCCTTCCAAATTCTTTACATTCCAATCACACTGCACTTTCCCTCACTCGTCCAGTACTGTGCTTCTCCGTCCACTCGTCCAGTACTCTCTGGTACTTCTTGTCCAGTACTCTGTTACTGCTACTTCTCCTTCAGTACTCTGTGCTAGTACTACAACTTCTCACCTAGTACTCTGCTACTAATTCTTGTCTCCCACTTGGTTGTTTTACTTCTCACCCAGTACTGTGCTAGTACTTTTACATACCCAGTACTCTGTGCTTCTACTATTCGGCCAATACTCTGTGCTAGTATTTCGTCTCGCCCAGTACTGTGCTTTGTCATGCTCGTACGCCCTAAGGCTAACCCAATACTCTGCCCTGATTCCCAGTACCCGGCCCTGATTCCCAGTACCCGGCCCTGATTCCCAGTACCCGGCCCTGATTCCCGGTACCCTGCCCTGATTCCCAGTACCCTGCCCTGATTCCCAGTACCCTGCCCTGATTCCCAGTACCCTGCCCTGATTCCCGGCACCCTGCCCTGATTCCGGTACCCTGCCCTGATTCCCAGTACCCTGCCCTGATTCCCAGTACCGGCCCTGATTCCCAGTACCCTGCCCTGATTCCCAGTACCCGGCCCTGATTCCCAGTACCCTGCCCTGATTCCCGGCACCCTGCCCTGATTCCCGGTACCCTGCCCTGATTCCCAGTACCCTGCCCTGATTCCCAGTACCCTGCCCTGATTCCCAGTACCCTGCCCTGATTCCCGGTACCCTGCCCTGATTCCCGGTACCCTGCCCTGATTCCCGGTACCCTGCCCTAATTCCCGGTACCCTGCCCTGATTCCCGGTACCCTGCCCTGATTCCCAGTACCCTGCCCTGATTCCCAGTACCCTGCCCTGATTCCCAGTACCCTGCCCTGATTCCCAGTACCCTGCCCTGATTCCCAGTACCCTGCCCTGATTCCCAGTACCCTGCCCTGATTCCCAGTACCCTGCCCTGATTCCCGGTACCCTGCCCTGATTCCCGGTACCCTGCCCTGATTCCCGGTACCCTGCCCTGATTCCCAGTACCCTGCCCTGATTCCCATTACCCGACCCTGATTCCCATTACCCTGCCCTGGTTCCCATTACCCTGCCCTGGTTCCCATTACCCTGCCCTGGTTCCCAGTACCCTGCCCCTGATTCCCAGTACCCTGCCCCTGATTCCCAGTACTGTGTTTACACTCGTTGGCCCGGTACTCGACCAGGCCTCCTTTTTGCTAGTGTCCAGTACCGTGTTCACTTTTACACATCCAGTACCGTGTTCACTTTCACACATCCAATACCGTGTTCACTTTTACACAGAACACCTGGTGTCACAATCGCAGTGTTCTGTTCATTTATACGATACACGAGGATTTCCACTCTTCTTTGAAGAACAAATGTTAATCGTCTTAGTTTGAGAAGCTGTTCACTTGAGATAGTTAAGCAACTCCAACCTTTTAACCTAAAGAGAAACGTACAAACCCGCGCAACCCACCTAACGTGTCTAGTCTAACACATTGAAAACGTAGATATTTGTGATCCGTCACTTTTCGTAACAGGCTGCATTTGTAACGTTGATCACCATAACGTACAAAACGTTCCTTACCGGCCCAACCAACTTTCCCAACGTCTGGAAACCGTCGTACTAAAGTGCCCTTATCCTGGCCTACCGCAGGACCCACCAACAGAAAACGGGAAAGTATCAATTTCGCGAGCCGCTTGTACGACGATTTTTGACCTTAGGTCGAGTATACGTCAGAATGCGACGCTATTACGACGGGTTGCCCGCCCTACGGTACACTGGTCCCTGCTTTATTCGACCAGTACACTGGTCCCTGCTTTATTCGACCAGTACACTGGTCCCTGCTTTACTCGACCAGTACACTGGTCCCTGCTTTACTCGACCAGTACACTGGTCCCTGCTTTACTCGACCAGTACACTGCTAAGTGGTCGTTTTGTTCTGGTGTTTCATTCTTCACTTCAGGTCCAACCAGCTGGCGTATTGATTTCTTTGGCTGAGTACTTACTCCCTCCTTCAGGTGAAGGCGGGTGTGCCTCGAGCTGTTTCTCTCCATACATCCTGGACTGCTAGGGTGGATGTGTCCATGTATCTGTGTGTTTGTATGCGTGAGTGTATTCGTGTGTATGTATGTATATATGTATGTGTATATGTGTGTGTGTATATATATATATATATATATATATATATATATATATATATATATATATATATATATATATATATATATATATATATATATATATATATATATTGTGACGGTAAAGCGTTGGTGTTCGGCTGTTTCAAAAGCTAGGGGCAGGGCCTCGTCACATTAAAGAAAAAAAAGAGAAAAAGCTGGAACTTTCGTCTGTGGTAAGGTAATGGGAAGACACACAAAACACAAGTAAATTTAACAATGAAATTTAATTACGTTAGAAAAACAAGACATGAATAAAGTTAAACATAAAATATACAAGACAAGTCAACAAACAAAATAATAAGAATAATCACTGGCAAATGAAAAGTTACGTTAAGACAAGTGAGTTATAGCAAAATAAATAATAATGGAGCTGGAATATTGGCTTCGAGCTGCCACCTCCCTTAGTACACGAAAGCCAAGGCTTAGTCTACTAGCGAGAGATGTCAACTGCAAGGAGCACTGGGATATTCTGACAATTCTGGGCCACTGCAGCCCAGACATCAACTTGTGGCGGAGGGTGGAGGGCAGGTGCGACGGGACACCAGCCAATCAGCGACAGGCAGGCAATGGACAAGCAGTTTGCCGGTTTGGCTAGCAGGTGTGCCGGTTTACGGTAGCGGTGGCTAGCAGGTGTGCCGGTGTGCTGGATACGTTTTGCTCTCTTGGCAAAACGTTTTGGAGATACTTGCTGGCCGTATCTTGTATATTATCTGTTGTTGTTACGTACTTTGAAGGGAAGAGCAGGCTCAATCTCTCTTGAAAGAGATTATCGTCACAATATATATATATATATATATATATATATATATATATATATATAT